TATTTCTTATTTTTTGTGTCAAATGGTTGTTTCTACAGGAGGCCTATGGGGATGTGACAGAGAGGATACGACTCAAAGAGAGGCTGGGCTGTAAGAGCTTCAAGTGGTTCCTGGAGAATATTTACCCTGACATCCATGTCCCGGAGGATCGACCAGGCATGTTTGGAATGGTGGGTGTCAGTCACTGAGGTGTTTACTAGGTCGACTTCAATAAGAATACTAGATTCATGTATTCACTCATACTCCTGTTCATTTTACAGTTCCAGAACCGAGGAAAGGCCAACTACTGCTTTGACTACAATCCTGTAGATGAACACGTGGTTGCGGGTCAAAGGGTCATCCTCTACCCATGTCATGGCATGGGTCAAAACCAGGTACTTGATGTCAAGATACACGGACGACTATACATAACAGTAATTAAGTAGTATTCATGGGTACACAACTGTTAACAACAAAACCGTTTTTGCAGGTTATAAAAACATGACTTCATTTGAAAGGGAAGCAGAAGAACGATTATTTTCCTTCCTGCAGAAGGATAGACCTACATTTTTGAAAACAACAAAAAGGAGATTAAATGTATCTTCAAAGAATATGAAAACCTTTACATAATCAGAAACCACTATCTGATAACGCACTGTCAGGCAAAGAAAGAAAGGATGTTTTATTTCACTGCCTTGGATTTGATCCCCGCAAAGGTGACATTTACCAGTGGGTCACATTCCATTTGTCTTCACCTTACACTGTCTTATCATATGGGGTCTGATGACACCAATCGTTGCTGTTGTGTGAGTAGAATACCTGCCTGCTGTGGCTTTGTGAAAGACTTAATCTCCTCATCAGTAAGTGGGTCACTGATGTCTGATTCCTGTCTTCATTCTCAGTGTGTGAGATATTATTACTAGGAGAGAGATATGGACTGCAGGCAGGCCGGTCAAACACATATTATTGTCACATTTGATTTTACAAGGAGAGGCCTGATGTTTGAATAAAAAAATAATAAGTTTTCTTCTAATTTCTAAATTAAAAAAAATTGGTCAGAACGTCAGAAAAAAAAACCATCATCAAACAAAGGTGCACCGAGTGTCTTTTTGTGCTGCAAATTTTCAGAGTAGAAAAATAAAAATGAAAATAAAAATGAAAGTGAATTATTTAAAAAAAACACTTGTATAGTATATCGTCGTGCCTACAGTATTGCAGTATATTGCAATATATCGCATCGTACCATATCGTTACTCACTCCACTGCACTCAACACACTCGCCCTAATCATCTAAATGTATTTATAGAGGACAGAAAGGTCAGTCTCAACAAGAATCGGATCTCAGTCCCTGTCCCTGTAGGCTGGAACCTCACCCAGTCCCCTCCATTATACCTTTAGTTTCCTTCTCTAACACTCGGTCCTCTGTTTGGCTGAAGGAGCAGATAAAATGGGCACAGATAGCTGCTGGCTCCACACACTCCCTCAGAGAGGCGTCCAGTGTAACAGCCTCTTCATTTCAGGTGTTTGAAGCTAAATCATCTCAGTGCTGTTCCTCGTGCTCCACACCGACCTGTCTCAGGATGAAGATGATTTATCGGCCCTTGTTGATGTTAGGAAAATATGCTTTCACTGAGACCTTTATTCTCCCCGGCTGAGAGTCAGCGAGGACCCACTGCTGAGATGTAGAATTGTTATTTCAGCAGTCCTGTGTGGACTCGTGCTGATGTTGTCTCTGCAGCCAGTCGGCGCCGCCGCGGCCTCGTGACGTGCTCTGCACGCCGTGGAATCACAAGTAATCCACACCTTTATTCATAGTCCGCAACTGTATTTCTGAACAGCAGCCGCCTCAGCTTGGTATATACCGAGTGCATGTACACGTACACACACACACACACACACACACACACACTGTGTCTTGATAAGAATGTACAGATTCTGAAATTGTGTTCCTATCGAAGACATGTCAGCAGGGTTGTGGCTTTGGAAAAAAATAAATTGGCTAACTCTCACCTCTATTTACTCCAGCTGCAGACCCTGCTCTATGACACCTATTTATTTGTAATTTATTTTTCTTTAGTTTACTGAGAACAGCATTTTTGTATGAATTACTGTGTTTTAAACAAAGTTTAATGAGATTTTTCTAATCAAACATCCCCCTCTGCTTCTACAGTTCTTTGAATACTCGACAGACGGTGAGATCCGCTACAACACCAGAGAACCTGCCGGATGTGTGGCGGGAGACAACGTCAGCACCTATCTGACTGTGCAGCTTTGCAGAAAGTGGGGACAACCTGTACCTGTGGATCAGAAGTTTGTCCTCAAAAAGGTAATTCTGGTGTGTGTGGTAAATCGGGGAGTAAAAACAGATATTGGTGTATGCTAACTGTTATGAGGGTCAGCTAATTCTTACAAGATTTTTAAATTAAAACTTGATAATTCATGATTAATCACGAATGGTTATATTCTCCACCCTTTGAAAATACATTGAACAACGAAGCTCAATCACGGCCAGGGGGAAGTTAGTTTATACCACCCCCTGCAGGGCAGAACGGGAGGTACACTACTGTACATTTAAAACACAGTGGCATATAATTTTATACACACTCTACCTTTAGAAGTATATTTTAGGATTAGGTCTAAAACATCATTCTAAGACATAGGAATTATTTAGGATTTATACTTTGATTATTTTATTCCTGGAATAAAACAGCCAGTAAATCAACAGTGTCCCCTCCAGGATGCAAATCATATTTTTCCAATAACCCTGAGAGGAAACATGTTCAACATGACTCAGTGTGTGAATCACGTCGCCCTGCTGCTGTTTACTCCAGATGTTCAGAACCACTGTGCCTGATGCTAAATTGTAAATCGCTGGATATCCACCACGCAGTGCCCGGAGTCATTTAGCATGTATTCAGTGTAGCTACATCAAACCGCTATCAGCAGCTATCTAAATGTTAATGGAGTCACGAAGGTCTGAATATATGCAGCAATGAGGCGGGAGAAAAAAGAGAAGGAACAATCAAACCACAAGAAGGAAGTAAGGAAAAGAAGGCAAAGAAGGATAAGAAAATGTGGAATAACGGAGCGATCGTTTCAGCTTTCTGACCAATTTGTTAACATTGTACAGATATTTTCTGTGGTTATTAGACAGTACTTGATTATACATTTCTACCCTGGCTACTTTCAGGACGGGCATCTGTTCCATTTGTCGAGCCAGAAGTGTGTCCAGGCCATAGACAACACAGACAACGGAGGTCCAGCTCCGTCACTTCAGACCTGCTCCGACAGCCTCCATCAAAAATGGTTCTTCCAGGAGAGGTTGTGACAACCTCAATCCTGAAGAGGGTTTTACAAGAACTGTTCGAGGCTAGGTCTGAAGAAAGAACAGACTGAATCCTTGGAACTTTGTTGGTTTTTTTAAATACGTGTGCCTTGCTCTAACAAAGAGCCCAAATGAGGAAGCTCCACTTCCTCCAGCAGCTGGATTAAATTAATCATCTGGAAAATGTTCTGTTAAGTTAAACTGGTTCGTACTAATCTACACTTTGATACTGTTGCTGGATGACAAGAACTTTTGGAATGTGATTTTTTAATTTTCTTTCTAAGCAAGGGTTGACAATCTTGTAAACTCAATTTTTTGTTGTTGTATTTTTCTTGACTTTAATGTTGGTGAAACATGACCAAATCAAGTCCACTTGGTGGATAAACACTGAAACAACAGCTACAATATACGTGCAAAATAGTAGTAGCTTGTGGTGGCTGCCATTACAGTGATTTCAGTGTCTCAACGTGAGGCACTGAAGTGAGTTTCTAACTTGTCCGCTAGAGGGAGATAAAGGACCTCACAAAACTTCACTTTAATCTGCTCTGCTGTTGTGTTTCAGACAAACTGGAGTAAATCTTCAGGTATTTATGAGGACCTCTTTTCAGGACGCATCATTTCACTGCATGCCGCTCCGGGGAGAGTCGGAGTAGGGGAGGGGGTTAGCCTTTACATCACAGACGTTACGCAAGGACACACACGAAAAAATGAAAGCCAAAAAAAAATTATATATATATATCCTTTCAAAGACAGATTTCACAGAATGCCTTTGAAAATGACAGACAGTGATGGCAGCACCCCTGCTGCTGCAGCGTCTGCATGACAACAGTTTACAGATTTGACATGACAGATGAGACAAATACCTGCTTTAATACCACACTCATCGTCAAAATTAAAGAAATATATTTATATTAAGTGGAGACGAAAACGATTTTCATTAGCTATTTTTTTGCTACTGCTATTCAGTGAAGATGAAAAACCTTTTTGGGTTCTTTAACTTGTCTGTCTGAAATTCTCTGAGGTACTGATTGTAGTGGGTGGGTCAAGGAGGTGGTGGGTGTGGCAGTGGGCAGTAGATGGAGTTAAATTTAATTACTCTCCAGAGAGGGTTTTTTTTTTCTCCTTCTCATACTTGTTCATTTGGAAAGCGTTGAAGTTTCTGACGATGGAAGTCTTTATTTTAGTGGTGAGACATTTTGTCCCTAAAAATATAATTGTGAGAAACCTCAGAGCGTAATGAGGTGTTTGGACGCAGATGGATCTAGTTGCGACTTCATTTGTGTCTGCTGAGTGTATACGCAGACCTGGAGATGTCCCATGAGTCCATTCATAGACTCCGTGGCTTGTACTGATCTGTGAACTCTGACTCTGTTTCCATTTGTCAGAGTTGGACAACTATGGATCCCTCCATTTGAAGCTGCAGTCACCGTGTGGCTGTGCCTCAGGCTACGCACAGGGAATAAGGAGAAGGAGCTCTGGACAGTTGTCCGTGTCTCCAGAGTGCTGCCATGGCAGATGGCGTTCTGATTGATTTTCTTTTTTTGGATGTCTCCCAATTCTTTGACGCCCACTCTTCCTCTCCGTGTCTGAGGGCTGCATCACAAGACTTATCGCGTGGACAGTTTGAAGCCAAAAACCTCCACAGATGAGTCCTTGGATGCCAGCGTCCCGGGGAGCGTGATGTATGAACAGAAGTGGTTGACTGTACAGTTTTTGACAGCACAAGCAGATAATGGAGGATACTGAATGAAGCAATCTGTGACCTCTTCCTTACCATTAACCTTCAGAGCCGTTGGCCCATCAGTCTCGGAGGACCGCGGTGTGCGATTGATGTTATGGGATGATTCTACTCAAACAGATTTTGCTATTGATTCAGAATGTGTGCTCACAACATGATGAATGGGATGGAAGATGCGGTTTTGCCAGCACCCCAGCTGGGACGACCGTGGGAGAACTGACTCTGCCAAATATAATGGATGCACATTAATAAGCAATAAATAATTGTTGCAGCACTTAAAGCTGAAGGGACAATGTAAAAGAGCAGGAGTGAAAAATTACAAATAAATTATCATCTGTAGGATGAGGCTATAAAATAAGGCTGCACTCACACTACAGCTCCATTTCTATTGTTTACATTATTATTTAAATGTAATTACCATCAGACTGCAGGGTGAACAGTGTGAAGTGGCCCACATACTGTAAAATAGGCCAAAAAAGTCAGATTGCTGGATCCGATTTTGGGTCCTATGGCCAAAAAAGTCATGTTTGGTTAACTTTTTTCTGCAGAGTAGACATTGAAGCATTTCCCAACATGAGGTAATTCAGTTCAGTTATTTATTGTCTGGCTGTTTCCAGGTGTGTATGGTTCATGGTGCAGAGGGAGCAGTATTTGTCTCAATGCTGTGTGATGGGGGGTGAATGAGCCAGCTGTGTGTGGGGACATACTCAATAAAAGTGTCTGGTATTGTCTTGATAACACTTTTATGAATAATTCTTCAGTCACCGGCGATTCGTAAAACCGTGCGAACGGCTTATCTTCTCCTGGTTCAGGCCTTTACTCTGTGTCGTCCATGAAAGATCACCGGGTTCAGGTGAAACGGCTGCTTTAACACGGCGCTCATGCTTTATACATTAAACACTTAGGAAGTGACAGCTTTTCCATTTTCCTCCGTCTGCGTCTTAAGCCTGTGAGTGCGCTGAAAATATTCCATCCCATTATTCAGGAGGGCTTATTTATTGTTCACTGTGGCCATCTGTTATTCCAGACATGTCCCACATATGGAGGCATTATATTGTATGCTAATTTGATACTCCACAGGCTGCTGCAGCAGAATTGATGTTCACCAGGAGGCCGCCTGTGTATCCAGCAGGTCACGTTGGGCCTTTTTTGTCGCGCAGACCTCGACCGCTGTGAATTATGTTGATCGTCCAACACTGAAGTGGTTAAATATTTGAACGACGACTCCTAACTGAAGACACTAATGAACACGTGCAATGATCAAATGACAGTAATGGTATTCTAAGAAGTGACTGAAGTGGACTTAGGTTATTATTAGAACGTTAAAGAATGTGATTTGTCTGTTTTGTTATTGTTACTTCCAATAAATGGACTTCATCTGGTGTTGGGATTCATGTTTATCTTTTTTGTAGTAGAATTATTTTCTTTAAATAACTTTAGTCATAAACCAGCCTCTGTTAGGAACAAAGCTGACGGTTTAAGTTAGATTATTTTTATTTGTGGATTTGATCTATTTCTCTGCTCAATTTCCTGCTACACCGCTCTGCTTTATTACTTTATAGGTCAGAGGTCACCAGCTCAGCTAGCCTAGGGTGTCCAGGGGGGAGGGTCTTGAGGGGTTAAGACAATTTTTTGTTCAATCATTTGAAGGTTTATAGACCATATAGGGTATGATCTATAAACACAATTTCTTCAATCGGTTGATTAGGGTTTGTTGGGGTCAGCCAGGGGTCACAATGTAAAAATACATAAAATAATGTAAAGGTCAAATTCAAGCAGCGACGTCACTGAGTAAGTACCAGATATTCTCTCTCTCTATTTCCCCCTCTCTCTGGCAGGAGTCTCCATCCGCGTGTCTATGCAAATTTCTGGCGAGCAGCGACGCCACAGAAGGCGGCGACGGTGCCGTCTGGAGCTGAGCTGCTCTCAGATCAGTTCAGCTGCTCCCTGGTGAAACAGTGCAGAGAACACTGGGACACGGAGGCCCGCGTTTAGCTGTGTGCAGTCACCGTGTGACGTAGACAGGATTTTTTTTTAATTCGGCGCGGCCTCGCTGCAACACTCACTCACACAGCCCATATGTGTCTTTAATGATAACGCAAAACAAGATTCCCCCGCGGTGCAGGTCTTTGGAGATGCACAGGCTTCAGTTGTCAGGGAGTGTCAGGAACCATAGGAGCGCACACACACACACACACACGCTGAAGAAGACCGTCCTTGTTGGTTTACTTTCTGTAATCCCTAATACCCAGAACAGCACAGGAGCAGCGGCTGCTGCCTGCATACATTAGGTGACACACTTTCACTTCCAGGAGGGACTCCAGACGCTGGAGAACAACATGTGAGGCCTAGATACAGGGACGGCTCCGGGTTTATTTTATACTACAGTAGATGCAGCGACGCTCACTTTGTAACTGCTGCAGAGGAGACAACGAACTCTTCACCTCTGATGGCTTTGTAGTCACAATATTTACATTTTATGAATTTTATTGAAACCATTTTTTATGTGGAACGGCGCTGGCTGTAGTGTTGACAAAGGTTATAAAATTAAATGCAACACATGGAACATATCCTTTGAAATAAAGTGCAGGAGTTTCTGTCTATCCCACATCTGTGACATCACCAGCAGACAAATTTGAACTTTCTTGGTTCGGTGTCACCTGCAGTGTTTTTCTCAGTGACGTTGGACCACCACAGATTCTCACCCCAGGAACTGTGTGAAGTTCCTGAGCTCCAACCTACGTCATGTTTTAATCACACACGCAGTAAAAAAATAAATAAATCCATTTTCATTTGTGGCACTTTCATCCTAAGTGTGACTCATTAGAGTGAGGGGATGATAATCTATTGCTTTATCACAAAAGGGACTGTGGATAATATCTCGCCCTTTTCAATTACCGCCACTGCCAGAGCGGAGCTGCAAATGAGAGGACCACGGCTTTGTTAATGACATCAGGGGACCAGTCCTTGATAATGACTCACTTGTCATTCACTCAGACTCTCAGCACAGATGATTCTGACCACTGTGAACACACCCGGCGACCAGCGGTTTGGACGTTGTCTTTGAGCGACTTTCACTTGGACTGTACAAAGAAAGTGAAAATATATGTTCCATTTAAATTTTAATTTAATTTAGTTTTATTTTGAAACCACGTGTCCTACTTCCAGACTAATCTTTTGTAAGCTTTTGTAACTCATCTCTAACCAGGAGAGACATTTATTACTTGCTTAATTACTAAAGTATATAATAAATAAAAATTGAAGTATTAAATGGAAAAAAATAGCCAAAAAAGTAAATGAATCAAAGGTTCTGGTATCACCTATCACTAGTCAAGATGTGTATACGGCATATGGTCATTCGAAAAGTCGTGCCATATATCTCCTAGTAAAGGAGCACATGGTCTTGCTGCTGTCGGAGGATTTCAGTTTTTATCAAACATGGCTTCTAAAAAAACACTGTCACTGTCTGTCACTCATTTTCCCTGTCACCGCAGACACACTACAGACCACACACACACAGAGCAGAGCCTGGGACCACTGTGTACGTGTGTGTGTGTCATTGATGATGTAGTCGACACAGATTGGGATCCAAAATAAGGATGGAGACAACGGTTGGTTCACCGGGGCCGCAGCTAGGCTCATGTGCAGCTTTAGGCTTCACAGCCAGTCTGTTATGAGGTTTCAGTGTGTAACGGTAATAAACTGAAGACAATCCAATCCTGTCAGGATGTATATGTATATATGACATCATCACAGTCGCTCTGACACACACTGGGATTCCTCTACAGAAACACTGACAGAATTCTTTAATGGAGGCTACACAAAATGCTTTCACCAGCAATCAGCTGCACCACACACACACACACACACTCCCATACAGTCCACGCCATCAGATTACTTGATTGCCTGCCAAATGAACTGCAACCCCTCGGGGGGTTTCGTACGCTGCATGTATTTCCTTTAAATGATAGGCTGTTGATTTGATGTTTGTTTCTTGGTGTTTCAGTCGTTTCCTGAGCCGTGGTCCAGTCCACGCCTGTGTCCCAGCAGGTTAGGGTTAATAATAAACCTGACCAACAGAGCCAACAGAGCTGTTGAAATGTTTCATGGACTGAATAACAAAGTCAGGGGGAGAGAAATCACATAATGCAGATGAGATCAAATATGAATCC